TGTACACAGAGTTAGTCTAATAAGGTGATATCGTTGTGAATTCTGCTTGGAATTATTTTAAGATTACAGAAAAAATTATTGTGAGAATAAATACAATTAAATCTACGATGATATCTCGGAAACTGCCATTTGTCTATATTGTTCATATATAATCATCTTTTTTTCAGACGTCATGATGAAGGTCGCTCTGTCATTCGCCGCTGTTTTGGCTGCCGTTGCTGCTCTTCCGCCCCCCCTTGGACCCGGAGGCGCTGGCCCTGCAGGTGACCTGTGGCATTTTCTTTCATCGTTACATATTTTGTTTATTGTTTATTTCTATCTTTCTATATTTCTGTACATATTGTATTTTGTAACAACGTCATCTTTGCTGCGAGTCCAGATGTCTTTGGTTCGAGTGGTTAGAAAATGTAGGCTTGTCCGATGTAGATAAAAGTCTTTCAGTATCAAATATCTGCACGCCTCATCAACACCGACTTAGAGAGACATTTTCACGTGGCCTCTCCTTGCGCAGGGTCTTTCATGCCCTCCCCGGCCATGATCCAGTCCTTCATCCCGACGCCCGAGGAGATCAACGCCCTCGCGGCCATTCCTCCAGCAGCCCCCGGAGCTTTTGGAGGAGCCCCTGGACCATTCGGAGCCCCTAAAGCTTTTGGAGCTCCTGGAGCCTTTGGAGCGTTCGGTGCCCCTGGAGCTGCCTTCGGCCCCGGGGCAGTGGCACCTCCAAGTGAGTTTCCTTCTTGTATCTTCTACTGTAAAACCTCTGCTAATACAAATCAAGATGAAATGTACTTGGTGCAATTATACGATCACAAAAGGGAAAACTAGTTAATGTATATCTGAGTAACCAAGGAAATAATTGCATCTAAATCATTCCATTTTACATTCATAACTCATGAAGCACTTTTCCTTGCAGCCTTGCCTCCTGCAGTTGCACACATGGTCAGTAAGTACCAGGCTGCTGCTGCTGCATTCATGCCCCCTGCCCCTGCCGCTGCCCCCGGAGCAGCCTGAATTCATTCTTGATTAAGATTTTTATCGATAGGTGTATGTCTGTAGCCAATAAAATCTGATGTAGCATCAAAACAATTTTATATCTCCTTATCTTTCTGCCATAAATTTCAGCTTAATTACAATGAAAACAAACAATTCAAATGAACTGTGTGCGAATACTGAACACTGTATTCATCCTCTATGTTCATTGCCGATGTATATGTGTTAGACCAATGATTTTGAAAAAAATAATAATCACGGTCATTCCTTCAATATCCACTGTAGCATATAGCAATACTCTTGTCACCTGGTGTTATATATCTATTCTTATTACATACTGTGTATTACCTTCCCTTGGGGTCGGCTTTCAGGACACCTGATGCCTTAAACAAGATCTCTAAACCTTGTCAATAAAATATAGCCCGTTGCTCATTCCAGGAGCGGTATTCACGAAAGTTCCTGGACAGTCTTTAGACGATTCTGAGACTAAAATTTGAGTGTCTCAAAAGTGTCTCATATAGGATTATCAACAAATACATAGATTCATTTACTTTTACATTACTCAAAATAGCGTTTATCAGGTTTCATCAATTTAACTAATGCAGTCATTCTAAATAAAACCTGACATACTTCAAATCATGTAAGTGAAGATGTGGCACCAATGCCACAATGTAGACGATTGTCTACATCGTGCATTTGCGTTCATCATTTTATTTCAGATTCAAAAATACCTTTACATGTATGCAAATGTGATTTTTTCGAATATAATGTGCTAGCGTTACGCATATAAATACATATTTACAGGAAACAAACATGACTAATGAAAGTGAAATGGCCTTTGCAGAAGCCTTCTGCTAACTATTGTGATTAATAAATTCCTTCGAATTCATGAAGATATATTTTTGCTTACAGGGAAACATATATTGTGCGTGAGTAACACGTACAAAAGACCAGGTACAAAAATAAATGTGAAAATTAATGGGAAACCCCTCTGCGGACCTTGTTGCTGCGGATCTATTCTAAAGTTTTCATTAGTTTAGCTTGGCATAAGTCAGACGAGTCAAATCTCAACCACTCTTTCTCTCTCTCTCTCTCTCTCTCTCTCTCTCTCTCTCTCTCTCTCTCTCTCTCTCTCTCTCTCTCTCTCTCTCTCTCTCTCTCTCTCTCTCTCTATATATATATATATATATATATATATATATATATATATATATATATATATATATATATATATATATATATTTCTCTATATATGTATATGTATATATATCTGTATATATATATGTATATATATATACATATATATATATATATATATATATATATATATATATATATATATATATATATATATATATATATATATATATATATGTATATATATATATATATGTATATGTATAGATATGTATATATATATATATATATATATATATATATATATATATATATATATATATATATATATATATTTGATTTGATAAAAATTATTGTTATTAGTATTAGTATC